ATCTATCTATCTATCTATCTATCTATCTATCTATCTATCTATCTATCTATCTATCTATCTATCTATCTATCTTGTCTGTCGGTCTGTCTACATCTATCTACCTACTCTATTATCTATCTACATCTATCTACCTACTTACCTACCTACCTATCATCTATCTGCCTGCCTGCCTGTCTGTCTGTCTAGCAGCTAGCTAGCTAGCTATCCATCCAGTGATGGGATTCAAATATGTGAACAACTGGTTCTCTGCATGGATGCCACTTCCGGAAGTCCCTTCTGAGCCTGGGCAACAAAAAATTAGCTACCAGTTCGGCCGAAGTGGTGCCAACCAGCTGAATCCCACCCCTGGTTAGGCTGAAGAACCTGGATTAATTCCTTGCCTTTTTGATTCCTGATCAACCTGTGTGTCACCTATTCCACTTTTTTGGAGGAACAAGGAGAACACCACCTCTGGTAAGAGCCTAATCCTAAGACACCAACAGCTTTTTTCCATACCTTAAGTTTGTCACAGGTCCTTCCTTCCCAATTTAAACCAATATGATTTGCATCAGTGGATGCTTCATTCAGATTAGATTGGATTAGATTACCTTTATTGTCATTTTTTTTTTACTGTGGGCACAAGGGCACACATCAAAAATGAAATTGAGTTGCCCGCTCTCAAAGCGTACCCATACATAACACACATTTAAAACATACTGTGTACAATATATGTATAGACCTACACCCTTACATGTAGGTGACATATCAATATTAATCACCGTCCATCTTGAATATATAACGGAAGGAGGAAGCTTGAGAGTTCACAAGATTTGTACTGTATGGAACAAAACTCTGACTGAATCTGGATGTTCTGCTTCGGATACCACGGAGCCCCCTTCTCCCCCTAGAAGGGAACTAGGAAAACAGGTTGTGGAGAGGATGTGTAGTGTCCAGACACTCTTGCAGACTCTGCTCAAGCAACACTTCTGTGCTATGTCCTGGATGGGAGGGAGGGAACTGCCAATGATCTTTTCTGCTGTCCTCACCACTCTCTGCACCACTCTTTTCCTGTCTAAAGCAGGGATGTTTCCAAACCAGACTGGGATACCATTACCATATACTTGGCTTAACTTCTGCCAATTTTTAATAAAGATCCAGTGTTGTTTTTGAGACGGCGAGTAAAAAAGTAAACTAGTGCTTGGGTTCTGCAGATGTTTTAATTAGTCCTAGTAAAAGAGGAGCTTCTGACTAGCTTGTAGGCCAGCGGTTCTCAACCTGTGGGTCGGGACCCCATTTGGGGTCGAACGACCATTTCACGGGGGTCGCCAAACAACGCAGTCCGCCATTTTCCCCCCTTTTCCTTAGGTGTGCTACTCCCTTTTATTCTCTTGGCTTTTGAAAGCCAATAGAATAGACTCTCTTGAATAGAGTCTAATCCTATTGGCTTTCCAAAGCCAATAGGAATTGTCCAGGCTGTCTCTGCCCTGCTGAGCCCGCCAAAAGTCCCATTCTGCAAACGGTGCTGCACCAGTTGAGTAGTCCTCGACTTATGACCGGTTGAGTAGTCCTCGACTTACGACCGGTTGGGGGGTCGCGGCATTAAAAAGGTTGAGAACCACTGTAGGCTAAGAATGTCTAAAGAGAGACTTGATTCAGTCCCTATTAATTTTCTGTTGTTAAATTTCCACTGGGGAGGGATTCGTCCCTTACCACATTTTCAACATGGAGGGGGCATATTTTGGAATCCAGAGGGATATATTTTTGCTTTCAGGGGTTTTTGCTAATACAGCTCTTACAGTATATGAGATTGCAGTCTAAAGTGAGCCCCGTCCAGTCTGCATTTACTGCAGTAGCACCCCTAAAATATCTTATCTTATAAAACAACAGTAAATACCTTTTCTTGTCCATTTGAACCTAAAATATAAGCCCTTTATGACTGCTTTTTGGGCCTCCCAAGTATAAAACTATTAGACTGCAATCATAATATTGGTTTTACTGAAAGAACAGATTTCTTAATAAGCGTTCTCGGGGTGGATAGGAGAAAATTTAGCATTATGGACCACGGTTAAGTGAGCTTTGATTAGGAATACACGTCAGACATGAAGTGACAAAAAGAAAACAAACCATTCAGCCAAAATTAGTGGCTTTATTCATTCTGATCTGGAAGGGGAAAAAAAATCATTTAATCATTTTCTTGGATATTTCTTCTTGAAAAAAAGCTCCATCAGCTTTCTCCGCTGGTGCGCAGCTGGAGAGCTTGCTCCACCACCGCCCTCGTTTCTCCGTCATGTTTCTCCGTCGTGTTTCTCCATTGCATTTCGCTGCGGCCGCATGCAGGAAAACCAAAGTTTGTGGGACTAAAAAAAAAGAAGTTCAATCAGACTTTCCAACTTTGGGAGATTTTTTTTTTTTAATGAGAAGTGGGAAGATCTGATTGAACCTTTTTTTTTTAGTCCCACAAACTTCTTTTGTTTCCCTGCATGCGGTGGCGAAGAAGCATGATGGAGCTGAAAAGCAGCTTAGCAATGAAATGCTTGGGGGAAGGAATACCTGGCACGGGAAGGGTACGCACGCGCCCCCCAAACTCTCTCATACCTTTAGTTGGTCCACCGCCACGCTCCGAGTTTGGCACAATTGCCGCCATGCTTCGAAGCTGTGTCTCTGCCCCAGGCGCTTGCCACCTGCTTTAAGTAAGACATCCCCCGAAAATAAGACCTAGTGCAGTGGTTCTCAACCTTTTTAATGCCGCAACCCCCAACCGGTCGTAAGTCAAGGACTACTCAACCGGTCGTAAGTCGAGGACTACTTAACTGGTGCAGAACCATTTGCAGAATGGGGCTTTTGGCGGGCTCAGCAGGGCAGAGACAGCCTGGACAATTCCTATTGGCTTTGGAAAGCCAATAGAATGAGCCTCTATTCAAGAGAGTCTATTCTATTGGCTTTCAAAAGCCATAGAATAAAAGGGAGTAGCACAGCTAAGGGGGAAAAAAATGGCAGACTGCGTTGTTTGGCGACCCCCGTGAAATGGTCGTTCGACCCCAAATGGGGTCCCAACCCACAGGTTGAGAACTGCTGACCTAGTGGGTCTTTTGGTCCAAATATACATACACAATTGAAGCAACTGCCAACAAACATCTTTCTGGAGAAAGAAGTGTGAAATTAAAACACTGGCACGGACATCGCAGTAGGTGACCTGATCGAGTTTTTTAAAGGGCGCCCCAATCAGAGATACGGGGGAAATTTCTAAATGTAAGGCCACTGCGAAGAACTTGAAATTAAGAACATCAGAGCATGTTTGCATTAATTGGTAAGCCACACAGTTTAAAAATATTTCTGGAATACCAGCAATCATCCGGCTGAAATTAAATTGGTGAATAAGAGAACGCATAGGAGGAGCATCAATTAAACAGAGAATGTGAGTGAATTAACCAGTCACGTGAAATGCTAATGGCAAAGGGACATGTATGTGGGTATCTGAGCGGTTTAAGAGGCTGCAAAGCTCAGGGAGATTAATTAGGGCAGAGGTCCCCAAACCTTTGCACACTGGGGACCGGTTCCATGGACAGAGGTTTTTCCGCAGACCGGAGGGTGTGTGGTTTTGTGTGCTGCCTGCATCTCAAGGATGGGGCTTTGCTTGTGTGTGCTGGCATGCTGTGGCCCTGTACCAGTCCACAGACCAGGGATTGAGGACCCTTGTTCTAGTCCAACCCCCTGCTCAAGCAGGAGACTTTAAACCAGAGGTCCCCAACCTTTCAGGCACCAGGGCTGGTTCCGTGGAGAGAGGTTTTTCCACGGACCGGAGGTTGTGTGGTTTTGTGTGCTGCCTCCATCCCGCAGTTGGGGCTTTGTTGTTTGTGCGGCCCAGTACTGGTCCACTGAGTCATAAGCTAGCCAAGCAGGCACCACATTGATCCAATTCAGGGCTTTTCAACCTTTTCACCCATTGCACCACTTTTAGGATATGGCAATATCCAAGTACCACCAGTCGCCTGGCAAGATGTCAAAAATGTGATGAACCCCCCCCCCAAAAAAGGAAAAAAGTGATAAAGTACAGGTAGTCCTCGACTTACAACAGTTCGCTTAGTGACTGTTCGAAGTTACAACAGCACTTAAAAAGGTACCCCCCAAGCCACAGCCAAGCAAGACACCTGCCTGCCCACCCAGTGGTGCTCTTCCTCCTGTCTGAGGTTTTCATTGTTGTGAGCATTTCTGTTGAGGATTGGCAGAGGGGGTGGGGTGGGGGGGTGTTTGGTTTTTATTCCCCCCGTCTGCTGGGTGGTTGCAGCAGGTTTTGGTCCCTTCACATGACCCTGGGACACTGTGAGCGTCATAAATAAGAATCGGTTGCCAAGCATCTGAATGTAAATCACAAGACCCTGGAGAGGCTGCAACATTCCAGCTGATCGGCGCTTCTTCTGGGCTCAGCAGAAGCACCGGGATCAGCGCCGAGCTCCAGCTGATTGGTGCTTCTTCGGGGCTCAGCAGAAGCACCAGGATCAGTGCTTCACCATAAGAAAGGCCGAGCGCCAAAGAATTGAGGCCTTTGAACTCTGCTGCTGGAGAAGGCTCCTGCGAGTCCAACCGATCAGTCGTGGAGGAGCTCAATCCCAACTGCTCTTTAGAAGGCCAGATCCTGAAGTTGAAACTCAAGTCCTTTGGCCACCTAATGAGAAGGAAGGACTCCCTGGAGAAGAGCCTGATGCTGGGAAAGATGGAGGGCAATAATAGAAGGGGACGACAGAGAACGAGGGGGCTGGACGGAGTCCCTGAAGCAGGAGACGTGAGCTTAAATGGACTCCAGAAGATGGAAGAGGACAGGAAGGCCTGGAGGAACGTGGTCCGTGGGGTCGCGAGGGATCGGACCCGACTTCGCAACTAACAACAATTACACAAAACCTGCTACATTTTCCAAGTGTCTTCCTGAAAAATCTCCAAGTGCCTCTTTTGAGTCCTCAGACGACTAAGGGAAGAGAGAGAGAAGACCTCTAGGTCCCTGTAAGGAAGCCTCTGAAAGACATCTCCAAGATTCCCAAATTGGTTTATTCTTCACGGATGCCAGCCTTTCTCAAAATCGACTCGCTTAATACAAGGGTGCCTGGGGAGACCCAATTAGTGGCCCTCTCAGTCAATTCCTACGGCCTGTCCCAGCCAGGAAGAAAATTATAGCGGCAAAGATGAAGTCAGCTCCTAGGGCAGGCAAGGATAAAAGCCATTGGCCATGTTTACATTGTAAAAAATTAAAAAGTGCTCAAAAGTGCTAGTGTGTTTTTCCAACCCGGGTAGGAATTTAAGGCTTAGCAGCTGAAAGGGTATAACCCGAAGAACAATTTGCAGCCTCTTCTCCATCGTCAAAACTCAGGACCCAGCTTGGAAATTTCTTCTCCTCGTGTTAAAAAAATAAACTCTTTGAAATTTCTTGGGCGGAAAACGTGGGTGACTGTTTTGGATCTTAAACCCGGCTCAGACCGACTCAAATTCTCTTTGCCAGTCAATGTATCTTTGACTGAGGTTCTTGGCGGAGGGCTTGGTGTGAGAAATGACATCCAGGAAGTCTTCCGTTGTGACTGTGTCCAAGTGGATCACCGGTAAGTTTCCACTGTCTGCGGAAAGAAGATCTCCAATTAGAAATTTAAATGTCATCCAGAGTTGGGTCCACCAGTGGTCAATGAACTACTCAAATCTCAATAAGAATGGAATGGAATAGAAAAAATGGAATGGAATGGAATATAGAATAAGAATAAGAATAAGAATAGCATAGCATAGCATAGCATAGCATAGAATAGAATAGAATAGGAAAAAATATGGAGTGGAGTGGAGTAGAATAAGAGTAGAGTAGAGTAGAATAGAATAGAATAAAATAGAATAGGAAAAAATATGGAGTGGAGTGGAGTAGAATAAGAATAAGAGTAGAGTAGAATAGAGTAGAGTAGAATAGAGTAGAGTAGAATAGAATAGAATAGAATAGAATAGAATAGAATAGAATAGAATAGAATAGGAAAAAATATGGAGTGGAGTGGAGTAGAATAAGAATAAGAATAGAGTAGAGTAGAGTAGAGTAGAGTAGAGTAGAGTAGAATAGAATAGAATAGAATAGAATAGAATAGAATAGAATAGAATAGAATAGAATAGAATAGAAAATATGGAATGGAATGGAATTGAACGGAACGGAACAGAAGAAAATAGAATAGAATAGAAAAAATATAGAATAGAATAGAATAGAATAGAATAGAATAGAATAGAATAGAATAGAATAGAATAATAAAGTTGGAAGGGACCTTTGAGGTCATCTAGTCCAATCTCCTGCTCAGGTAGGAAACCTTATACCACTTCGGACAAATGGCTATCCTGTCTCTTCTTAAAACCCTCCAGTATTGGAGCATTCACCGCTTCTGGAGGCAGGTTGTTCCACTGGTTAATTGTTCTGACTGTCAGGAAGTTTCTCCTTAGTTCCAGGTTGCTTCTCTCCTTGATGAGTTTCCACCTGTTGCTTCTTGTCCTGCCTTCAGGCGCTTTGGAGAATAGCTTGACTCCCTCTTCTTTGGGGCAGCCCCTGAGATACTGGAAAACTGCTATCCTGTTCCCTCTCGTCCTTCTCTTCATTAAAAGAAGACTATATTGAATGGCATGTAACCCAAAATCTGATGAATCCTAGAAGGGATTGTCCTACTATGGTAGCCTATTCTCACTCTGGGTGGGCATCGTTTTATTTCTATCTCATTCCCCAAAGTTGTACCTTCTGATCTGTGCTACCCGTTATCCTACCTGCAAGTTTTAGGGAGCTGCAGCCCCGACTCGCCCAAAATACCTGACTAAGGGTTTCAAAGGTTCTTTCTGGCGAGAAGGTTTCTATGGTCTAAGAAAGGCTGCTAATTTTATATCAGTGACTAAGTGGGAAGCGAGTTCTCAAATCCTAAATAAATCCAATTGGAAACAAACAAAATGCTGCCATCTGCTGGTACAGATTTAACATTGATCATTTACTCTTCCTGGCTTGCTAAGCTAACTTGACTAGGACAGGGGTCTTCAAACTTGGCCCTTTGATGACTTGTGGACTTCAACTCCCAGAATTCCTCAGTCAGCATGCCTGGCTGAGGAATTCTGGGAGTTGAAGTCCACCAGTCATCAAAGGGCCAAGTTTGAAGACCCCTGGTCTGGATCGAAGCCCCCAGTTTCATCAAAATGGCCGACTGAGGAATTCTGGGAGTTGAAGACCCCTGAGTTAGGATATTGTTGTGATTCCTCGCCAGCCAGTGGACCCGGCAGCTGAGTCTGGGGAATCAGAGGAGGAGGAGGGGCCTGGAGTGACATCAGAGTCGGAGGAAGGCTCTGAGGAGCTCCAAGACTTATGGTCAGACGAGGAGCCTGGCACCTCTACTCACACTCAGGCTAAGACACAGCTGTGCTGAGAGCCTGAGTTGGACAGCGATGAAGAACAGCTGGGACAAATCCCAGATGCACGAAAGTGCAGACAAGAGAAGCAAGTAGGACAGAGGAATGCAATGGGCCGGCTCCAAAGGCAAAGGAGAAGGCATTAGAAAGCCACGGCTGAATTGTAAAAGGGAAGGTATGGGAGGTGCTGGTTGCCGAAGGCCACCGTTTGTGTTGAGGATCGAGTTTCCATGAACTGTGTTTGTTTTGCCTTGGACAAGTCTGTGAGAATAAAAGGGGTTGGTTTTTTTCCTTCGGTTCCAGCCTGCTTGTTGGAAGAGGGGTTTTCTCCTTGTGAGCATAACAAGGATTCACGTAGGCGGGGACACAACAGATATCCCTGCTTGCTTGATACTGAGCATCTGTTCAGCTCAAAGGCCCGAGAGGGTTTTTGCAGTACCTGGCTGATGACTTTCCAGAGCGCTGAAGATTTTCCTCACAGGGCGCATGGCTGCCTCTTTGCAAACCAATTTAACGTCGGACCCCGAATAGCCTTCCATCTCCTAATGCACAAATAGGAACGGAAAGATGGGCTTACATCTGCAACAGTTTTCCATTGCAGGCAGTCGCCAAGAATCATAAATCATAAAAATATAAACATCAAGTGATAAATCACAATATACCCATGGGAGAAGATCATCGGAAAGAGGAGAAGGTGAGAAAGATGAGAAGATGAGGTAGAAACAGACAGAGCTCTAAAAAAAGGTATGTGGACTTCAACTCCCAGAATTCTGGCTAAGGAATTCTGGGAGTTGAAGTCCAGACCTCTCAAAAGTTGCCAAAGCTGAGAAACGCTGCTCTCTAGATTCCTTACTCCTCCACCAAGGTCATTCATGAGAACCCTGGATAACTCTGGTTGGGTTGAGCTTCTTCCTCACCTGGCTGAGCAGATTATAATTCAGCTCCGTCCTCAGCTCCACTCCTCCACTGTTGCTCACCGGGGGAAGCCAGTGCTGGATCATGGCTTGCCGTGCCTCTGGGTTTGGGAGGTCAACCAGGATCCTCTTCTCTAGCCGGCGCAGCATGGCGTAATCCAGTTCCCTAGGAGAGAGTAGGGAGGGCAGATCCTTAGACATTGTTCCGTTAGCGAGAGATTTCAGCACTCTTTCCTCAAAGTATAAGCGGTAAAAAAGGCTCCTGAGGACCAGGGGTCTTCAAACGTGGCCCTTTGATGACGGGTGGACTTCAACTCCCAGAATTCCTCAGCCAGCGTGCAGAGATTCCCAACCTTTTGGGCACCAGGGTCCGGTTCCGTGGAGAGAGGTTTTTCTTTTTTTCTTTTTAATACATATTTTATTAATTTTCTAATTTTACAGTCATGAGTACTTAATAAACAACGTGTTGTCTGGGTCCATTGGTAATTCAGTGGTACATATTAACTTTCTCAGTCTAGTTCCAATACTATGAGATACACATCCAGTGCTTCCTTGGTCCTCCTGCTTGAGCTGGGGGCTGGACTAGAAGACCTCCAAGGTCCCTTCCAGCTCTATTCTATTCGAACCCCACAAAAAAGAGGAACACGAGAAGTCCACTCTTCCACTTCACAGCCCATCCACCGCTTAAGCTGATAGTAAAACTTTGATTTAATGGGCTAATTAAGGAGGAGGCCAAGAAAGCGTTATTTATTCAAGATTGACTACCAAGCTGGATAGCAAAGAAGCAATTTCTATCACCACACAAATGACGTTGTGAGTGTCAGCTCAACTTCATTTTGGGCAGGCAAAGTCATTATACCCATTGCACAAATTTCTCTCAATTCACACAGATCTTGGGGTGGGGAAAAAAAAAACCCCGATCAATTTCTGTCAATTCACACAGATCTGAGGAATAATATAGCCCACTAGCATGTAAAGTGTGTTGCTCCGTGATCCTTCAAACAAGGATTTGTAGTAATGTCCTCTTTGGTTACTTTTGTGCAAAAACCACTTCTTTTTTTTTTTTAATCGCAGCTCATTTTGATCCCCACTGGATCTTCATATTAAAAAAAAAAAGGGAAGGATTTTCATGCTGAAACTTTAGCACTCCTAATTGCAATAAAACCCCAACTCTCCCTATTTTTAGAGAAGATCTTTTTTTTTCCCCGAGCGCCGGATGATTTAAGCACCTTAGGAGTTTCTCCGCTGAAAATCCTTCTTTAGCTTAGCCTATAGTAAATAACTTGGCCATCAAGTTGCTTTTTAAATATCAGCAGCTGGCTTCCTCTTGACATCTGCTGATCTTCTGGAGGATTACCTACTTTGCGGTGGAAACGGCAAGAACCGAAGCAGAAGCAGAACATCAGTAATAATGATGATAATAGTAAACAAAGAAGCCCAAAGCTCTCAATTGATCTTTGAAGGCTTTAGCCAAATATCATGGCTTTTGCTCCTCCGAGTAAGTAAAATCTTTATCTGTGTTTAGAGGCTCATGCAGAGGTATTCAAAACAGATTCTCCGGCTCCCTTACCAGGGTAAGTTGGAAGCTGCTAAAACAAAGACAAGGTCATCGGATCGGGCCAGGCCGTCCATCTGCACCAATAATTCGGTTTTCATCCGTCGGCTCCCTTCGTGCTCACCCCTGTCAAGAGATTGGGGGGCAGAGGAAAAGGGGAAATATAAGTCCTGGGCACGGGAGAAGATTCCCCATTGCATATAGTCCTTCGTTTGTTGAGTGGCTATTCAAAATTGCAATGGTTTAGGATTGTTTTCCACACTTAATGACCGATTCAGCATTCCTCTAGTCACGCAATCAAAATTCAAACACTTGGAAACGGGCTCATGTTTATGATGGGGTGCAGCGTCCGGGGATCATACGTGATTCCCCTTTTGCAACTTTCTGACCAGCAAAGTTAGTGGGGAGGCCATGTTCTCTTAACAGCCACGATAATAATAATACTAATAATAGTAATAATCAGAATAGACGAGAAAGAACTGGAGAAGATAACGAAATACAAAGACCTACAAATAGAAATAGAAAGACTGCGGCAAAAGCAAGCAAGGGTAGTACCAATAGTCATAGGCTCCTTAGGTGCAATCCCAAAACAACTGGAGCACCACTTGAACATAATTGGCATTGACAAATTCGCTATTAGTCAATTGCAAAAGGCGGCCTTACTAGGAACTGCTTCCATCCTGCGACGATATCTGTAATACCATCAAACATCCACATCTGCCTATCCCAGGTCCTGGGTAAGGACTCGATAGGTAGACATAATGCCAAATCCAGTCTGAACATCTGGCTGACTGTGTGATGATCCATAATAATAAAAGTTGGAAAGGATTTTGGAAGTATTCTATTCTATTCTGTTCTGTTCTGTTCTGCTCTGCTCTGCTCTGCTCTGCTCTGCTCTGCTCTGCTCTGCTCTGCTCTACTCTATTCCATTCCATTCCATTCAATTCTTATTATTCTATTCTGTTCTGTTCTGTTCTATTCTGTTCTGTCCTGTCCTATCCTATCCTATCTTATCCTATATTCTATTCTATATTCTATTCCATATTTTCTATTCTATTCTATTCTATTCTATTCTATTCTATTCTATTCTATTCTATTCTATTCTATTCTATTCCATTCCATTCCATTCCATTCTTATTATTCTATTCTATTTATTTGTAGAATTTATATGGCTGCCCAATACAAACATGGTGACTCTGCAGCCCACAATAGTCTCCCCCCAACACATGACAAAGTGAACAATTTCAATTAAAATTCAAACAGACATGAACAGGCAGCCAAAAATTCACGTTGGTTTTCCAATTGAGAAGACCCTTCAGAGTCCCTTGGACTGCCAGGAGATGGAAGGAAACCAAGCCTGGCTGTCCTTTGGAAGGGCAGATAGTGAAGCTGAAGCTCAGATCCTTTGGCCACCGAATGAGAAGAGGGGGAGGACTCCTTGGAGAAGACCCCTGACGTCGGGAAAGACGGAAGGCGAAAGGGGAAGGGGACGGCAGAGGATGAGATGGTGAGATGGTGTCATCAACTCAATGAGCGTGAATTTGGGCAAACTCCTGGAGACAAGGGAGAGCAGGCAGAGGATGAGAGGATGGGATGGTGTCATCAACTCAGCAAACGTGAATTTGGGCAAACTCCTGGAGACAAGGGAGGACAGGCAGAGGATGAGAGGATGAGAGGGGAGAGGATGAGATGGTGAGATGGTGTCATCAATTCAACAAACGTGAATTTGGGCAAACTCCTGGAGACAAGAAAGGAGAGGCAGAGGATGAGAGGATGAGATGGTGTCATCAACTCAACAAACGTGAATTTGGGCAAACTCCTGGAGACAAGGGAGGACAGGCAGAGGATGAGAGGATGAGATGGCAGAGGATGAGATGGTGAGATGGTGTCATCAACTCAACGAACGTGAATTTGGGCAAACTCCTGGAGACAAGAAAGGAGAGGCAGAGGATGAGAGGATGAGATGGTGTCATCAACTTAATAAACGTGAATTTGGGCAAACTCCTGGAGACAAGGGAGGACAGGCAGAGGATGAGAGGATGAGATGGCAGAGGATGATATGGTGAGATGGTGTCATCAACTCAACGAACGTGAATTTGGGCAAACTCCTGGAGACAAGAAAGGAGAGGCAGAGGATGAGAGGATGAGATGGTGTCATCAACTCAACAAACGTGAATTTGGGCAAACTCCTGGAGACAAGGGAGGACAGGCAGAGGATGAGAGGATGAGATGGCAGAGGATGAGATGGTGAGATGGTGTCATCAACTCAACGAACGTGAATTTGGGCAAACTCCTGGAGACAAGAAAGGAGAGGCAGAGGATGAGAGGATGGGATGGTGTCATCAACTCAACAAACATGAATTTGGGCAAACTCCTGGAGACAAGAAAGGAGAGGCAGAGGATGAGAGGATGAGAGGGGAGAGGATGAGATGGTGAGATGGTGAGATGGTGTCATCAATTCAACAAACGTGAATTTGGGCAAACTTCTGGAGACAAGAAAGGAGAGGCAGAAGATGAGAGGATGAGATGGTGTCATCAACTCAACAAACGTGAATTTGGGCAAACTCCTGGAGACAAGGGAGGACAGGCAGAGGATGGGATGATGAGTCGGCAGAGGATGAGATGGTGTCATCAACTCAAGGAACGTGAATTTGGGCAAACTCCTGGAGACAAGGGAGGGCAGGGAAGCCTGGCGTGCTTTGGTCCATGGAGTCCCGAAGAATTGGACACAACTTAGCAACTGAACAACAAGAAGAAGATTCACCATACGATCCTCCTGGGGGAGGCAGTCTTCCTAGCCCCCTATGCCAAAGAGAACAAAAGCCAAATTGTGACCGTCTTTCTGAAGGCCTTGGGGGTCGCTGACCCTGCAAGATAAGGGCCATTATAAAATCTTTAATGTGATGACCCCTGGCTTAGACCCCCCCAAGCTCTGGAGAGAGATGCTGATTAGAATGTGAAAAACAAGGGACTGCCCTACATAAAAGCCTGTTCGATGAGCCAATTAAAGAGACCCATAAAAGCCGGGGCAAAGGGGACGCTTTCCGGGCTTAAGGTCCCAATCCTTTTCCCCCTGCAGGTAGAAGTCTCCAGAGCCATTTGTCTGAGAACTCAAAGCGACACGGGCTGTTAATCCACACGAGGCTTATCTAATCATCTTCTCTTCTCGTCCAGCCGGCATTAGGATGTTATAATCATCTCTCCAATTAAGAAATATTCAAACCAATTTTCATATATATGATGTATCGCTTGGTGACTGTGCAAGTCCGTTGATGAGTTTGGGAAGGACTTCTTTGAGGCCTTCAGCGGCAGGCCCCTTGACCAAGAAGACCTCGAGGGATATAGAGAAGGGTCTGGGACGGTTTGTTTCAGTCGTCCCGAAGCCCCCAGACCCTTCTTGACAAAATGGGGCGGAAACTAAATGGCCAAAACTTGATCCTTGGGCTTCCCTGCTGCGAAGCACTTCTGCTCCCTGGCCTAAAATGGTTGGTCTGGAGCAGGGGTAGGCCACCTTGGCTCTTTTATGACGCGTGGACTTCAATTCCCAGAATTCCTGAGGCAGCATGAGGGAAACTTTGGCCCCTTGATGACTCGTGGACTTCAACTCCCAGAATTCCTGAGCCAGCATGGGGGAACTATGCCCCCTCATGACTGGTGGACTTCAACTCCCAGAATTCCTGAGCCAGCATGGGGGAACTATCGCCCCCTCATGACTGGTGGACTTCAACTCCCAGAATTCCTGAGCCAGCCATGGCTCAGCTTGGAAACCTCTGTTCAGCGTGGCTGGCTCAGGAATTCTGGGAGTTGAAGTCCACCAGTCATAAAAGGGCCAAGATGGCCTACCCCTGGTCTGGTAGAAACAAAGGCACCTCGAAAAGGTTGCCCTAATATCCACTTTACGGAATTGTAAATTTCTTTCTATTCCCTGCTGAGCTAAACAGATAAAATAGCATCAAGATCAGGGCCCTTGGCAAATTGTGGACTTCAACTCCCAGAATTCCTGAGCCAGCCAGGCACTGATGATGTTGCTTAGTTTGGTGATGAAAAGTCTACAAGGAAACAGCCAAGCTTAGAGAGCACCAAGGACCCCATAGTTGTGGTCTCCTCCTCCTCCTCCTCCTCCTGTTCTATGATTCCACAAAACCTTCTCCCTTCTAACACTGATAAAGTTACTTAGTTGGGTCATGAAACGTCTGCAAGGAAACACCCAAACTCAGATAGCACCAAGGACCCCATAGTCCTTTCCTCTTCCTCCTCTTCCTCCTCCTCCTCCTCCTCCTTTGTGCAACCCCCCCTCCCTCCTAGCACTGATGATGTTCCCTAGTTGGGTCATGAAATGTCTGCAAGAAAACCACCAAGCTCAGAGAGCACCAAGGACTCCACAGTCCTTTCCTCCTCCTCCTCCTCCTCCTCCTCCTCCTCCTCCTCCTCCTCCTCCTCCTCCTCCTCCTCCTCCTCCCCCTCCCCCCCCTCCTCCTCCTCCTCCATAAACACCACTCTCTTCTAGCACTGATGATGTTACCTAGTTGGGTCATGAAACGTCTGCAAGAAAACCACCAAGCTCAGAGAGCACCAAGGACTCCACAGTCCTTTCCTCCTCCTCCTCCTCCTCCTCCTCCTCCTCCTCCTCCTCCTCCTCCTCCTCCTCCTCCCCTCCTCCTCCTCCTCCTCCATAAACACCCACTCTCTTTCTAGCACTGATGATGTTACCTAGTTGGGTCATGAAATGTCTGCAAGAAAACCACCAAGCTCAGAGAGCACCAAGGACTCCACATCCTTTCCTCCTCCTCCTCCTCCTCCTCCTCCTCCTCCTCCTCCTCCTCCTCCCTCCTCCTCCTCCTCCTCCTCCTCCTCCTCCTCCTCCTCCTCCATAAACACCCACTCTCTTCTAGCACTGATGATGTTACCTAGTTGGGTCATGAAACGTCTGCAAGAAAACCACCAAGCTCAGAGAGCACCAAGGACCCCACAGTCCTTTCCTTCCTTCCTCCTCCTCCTCCTCCTCCTCCTCCTCCTCCTCCTCCTCCTCCTCCTCCTCCTCCTCCTCCTCCTCCTCCTCCCCCTCCAAACCTCACTCCCTTCCAGCACTGATGATGTAACCTAGTTGGGTCATGAAATGCCTTCAAGGAAACAACCAACCTCAGAGAGCACCAAGGACCCCACAGTTCAACCCGGAGTTACAAATATTCTCCTCTAAAGGTTAACAGATTTCTTTTTGAAATATTTTTTTTTAAAAAATCCAATAATAAGAGAGTTGACTTGACATCCCCGCCCCCTCAAAAAAAGGGAAGAAAAAAAGGTAACAGAGGCCAGACCATTTGAAAATTGTTACCCTGGAACGGTGCCACGCTGACTCATGACCGACTCCAGTTCATCCAGGAAGATCGTGGAAGGGGCATGGTAGCGGGCAAGCTCAAATAACACCTGCAAGAGAAGGAGACAGGACTCAGGAAAGAAATATGAAGAGGGACCAATGGGATCATTTGGGATCATTCTCTGACTGCAGGAAATTTGGAAGAATGCAACAGGAGCTGCTGAGGCGGGGTTTGGCCGCTTGTAGCCACAGACCCCCAAAAGCAGGGGTCCCCAACCTCCGGTCTGTGCACCAGAACTGGGCCGTGGCATGCCAGCAACCGGTCCGCACAAACAAGCAAAGCCCCATCCGTGGGACACAGGCAGCACACAAAACCACGCACTCTCCGGTCCGCGAAAAACCTCTCCCCACGGAACCGTGGTCCCTGGTGCCCCAAAGGTTGGGGGCCTCTGGTATAGAGTCTCCTGCTTGAGCAAGGGGCTGGACTAGAACAGTAGTTCTCACCCTGTGAGTCGGGACCCCATTTGGGGTCGAACGACCATTTCACGGGGGTCGCCAAACAATGCAGTCCGCCATTTTTTTCCCCTTTTCCTTAGCTGTGCTACTCCCTTTTATTCTATTGGCTTTTGAAAGCCAATAGAATAGACTCTCTTGACTAGAGTCTAATTCTATTGGCTTTCAAAAGCCAATAGGAATTGTCCAGGCTGTCTCTGCCCTGCTGAGCCCGCCAAAAGTCCCATTCTGCAAACGGGGCTGCACCAGTTGAGTAGTCCTCGACTTACGACCGGTTGAGTAGTCCTCAACTTACAACCGGCTGGGGGTCGCGGCATTAAAAAGGTTGAGAACCACTGGACTAGAACAAGGGTCCCCAACCCTCAGTCTGTGGAGCGGTAGCAGGCTAAGCAAGGTGTGCTTCCTTTTTCTGCTTATTTGGCTATCACTTTTCATAGAATACAGTACAGATAACTGAACAAACCATGTTGCATTACATTCTTGATTCAATTATCTTTCCACTGATATATAATTTTATGGTACTACTCCCAACCCCCAAAAAAGTGGTGTTATTAGGCATCCAACCTCAAAAGTACATTTTTACCTAAAGGTTTCCACAATTTTGGCCACTACTATAAGATGCCCCAAATCACTTCTTGTAATCTACGAACCCCATCCAGACTTTTTCGCGCCACCCGATCTGCTGTTAAAAAAAACAAAAGAGAGCAATCCAAAACCAGATTGTTCCCATACGGATGCTTTAAACATCTGTAACTATAAGCCTCGGTTAGAGACAGCTAAAATGTCCAGTTTAATGAAGAGGAGGACGAGGGGGGACATGATAGCCGTGTTCCAGTATCTCAGGGGCTGCCCCAAAGAAGAGGGAGTCAAGCTATTCTCCAAAGCACCTGAAGGCAGGACAAGAAGCAACGGATGGAAACTCATCAAGGAGAGAAGCAACCTAGAACTAAAGAGAAATTTCTTGACAGGGAGAACAATTAACCAGTGGAACTACCTGCCTCCAGAAGCTGTGAATGCTCCAACACTGGAGGTTTTAAAGAAGAGACTGGACGGCCATTTGTCAGAAATGGGATAGGATCTCTTGCTTAAGCAAGGGTTGGACAAGATGACCTCCAAGGTCCCTTCCAACCTTCTTCTTCTTCTTCTTCTTCTTCTTCTTCTTCTTCTTCTTCTTCTTCTTCTTCTTCTTCTTCTTCTTCTTCTTCTTCTTATTATTATTATTATTATTATTATTATTATTATTATTATTATTATTATTATTTGCCCCAAATCACTTCTTGTAATCTATGAACCCCACCCAAATTTTTTTGTGTGATTAAAAAAAAAAAGAGCTATCCAAAACCAGATTGTTCCCATACGGATGCTTTAAATATCTGTAGCTATAAGCCTCAGTTAGAGATAGCTAAAACGGTGTCAATTCAATACTGCAAAACAAACGAACATTTAAAACAAAAAATGTCTTTTTTTTAAACAAAGGGACAGATAGTCCTCAACTTAATAACAGTTCGCGTAGGGACCATTACCACAGCACTGAAAAATGTGACTTATGACCATTTTTCACACTTATGACCACTGCAGCACCCGCATGATCACATGATCAAAATTTAAATGCTTGGCGACTGACTCATATTTACGACGGCTGCAGCGTGTCCCGGGGATCACGTGATCCACTTTTGTGACCTTCTGACGAGCAAAGTCAGCGGGGGAAGCCGGTTTCACTTAACAATTGTGTTACTAACCACTGCAGTGATTCATTTAACAACTGTGGCAAGAAACGGAAGCAAACTCTCTTAACAATGGTCTCCCTTAGCAACAGAAATGTTGAGCTCAGTTGTGGTACATTTTGTTTTCTGACATGGGATCAGGAAAATACAGTGGCTATTAGAGTAAAATAGTGTAAGCAACCTCATTATATTAGAAATGCTGCCTTGATAGGGACATACAGAATAATTCTTAAATCTCCACAGCTCACAAAAGAGGAGAGGAAGGGCGAAGAGAGACAAATAATCCTGTCTGTATATTTTAAATCTTTACCTAAATCCTACTCAAATATGAAGGGAATAATAAGGGAGGAGAATGACTCCAGAAAGAGAAGCCAACCAAATCCTCCTATAGCCGGTAGAGACTAAAATGTTCCTTTACAGCGGCATTTATAGGTTTTTAAATACACTTTTATAAGCAAAAATGAACACGGAGAGAATTAAAAGTTGGGTGAGCTAAATACTTAGGTATATTACACACGCTTCTCTCTGCAAATAAAGGATGAATTCTGGCGCAGTCGCATGATAGATCTTTGGTTTGGCAAATAATCGTGCTGAAATAATAGAATAGAACAGAACAGAGCAGAACAGAACAGAATAGAAAATATGGAATGGAATGGAATAGAATAGAACTGGAAGGGACTTTGGAGGTCTTCTAGTCCACCCCACTGCTCAGGCAGGAGAACCTATACCATTTCAGACCAATGGCTGTCCAGTCTCTTCTTTAAAACTTCCAGTGCTGGAGCATTTACTGCTTCTGGAGGCAGGTGGTTCCATTGGTTAATTGTCCTCATTGTCAGGAAGTTTCTCCTTAGTTCCAGGTTGCTTCTCTCTTTGGTGAGTTTCCATCCGTTGCTTCTTGTCCTGCCTTCTGGTGTTTTGGAGAATGGCTTGATTGCCTCTTCTTTGGGGCAGCCCCTGAGATACTGGAAGGCTGTTATACTGTCCCCCCTCGTCCTTCTCTTTATTAAACTAGTCCAGGGGTAGGCAACCTTGGCTCTTTTATGGCTCATTTTATGACTCTCTTCAACTCCCAGAATTCCTGAGCCAGCTGTGCTGAGGGGAAAGGGAGAGGTTTCCAAGCTGAGCCCTGCTGGCTCAGGAATTCTGAGAGTTGAAGTCCACCAGTCATAAAAGAGCCAAGGTGACCTATCCAGGGACTAGACATACCCAATTCTAGCAACCGTTCCTTATATGTTTTAGCCTCCAGTCCCCTGATCATCTTTCTTGCTCTTCTCTGCACTCTTTCTATGGAGGATTGCTTTAGCCAACGCCTGCGTTAGGCCATGTGTTAGCAAATTCCCTCTTAACTTTTATCCGTGTATAAAGGAAACCAAAGGGATTTTTACTCTGACAAGCTTTTCTGAATCGCCTCTCCATTTGCTGACAATGGTGGACGCGGAGATGTTGAAGAATGTTGTATTGCATTCAGTAGCGACAGCTTTAGCCAGCAAAGTTTTCCCTGTACCTAGAAGAGGAAGGAAAAGCAGCATTTAAAACATGAAACATAAGAAGAATCATTGCAGGAATTGGGTATGTCCAGTTTAATGATGAGAAGGACGAGTGGGGACATGATAGCAGCCTTCCAGTATCTCAGGGGCTGCCCCAAAGAAGAGGGAGTCAAGCTATTCTCCAAAGGCAGGACAAGAAGCAACGGATGGAAACTAACCAAGGAGAGAAGCAACCTAGAACTAAGGAGAAACTTCCTGACAGTGAGAACAATTAACCAGTGGAACAACCTGCCTCCAGAAGTGGTGAATGCTCCACTTTTTTTAAGTGGAAGTTTTTAAGAAGAGACTGGACAGCCATTTGTCTGAAATGGTCTAGGCCAGTGATGGCGAACCTTTTAGAGACCGAGTGCCCAAACTGCAACCCCAAACCCACTTATGCTTCGCCGGGTGGGCGTGGCCCATTGGGTGGGCGTGGCTGCAGTGGTAACGGCAGACTGGGTGGGACTAAAAAGTTCAATCAATCAATTCCAACTTTGCGAGATCTTTTTTTTCCCGTGAGAAATTGAAATTGACTGATTGATTGAACCTTTTTTTTTTTTTTGCATACGGCGGCGGAGGCCTAAAGCGAAAAGGTTTTATAAAACCCAGCTGAAGGCCTAGGACTGGAGCGACGGTGCGCGTGCCCACAGAGAGGGCTCTGAGTGCCACTTTATTTATTTATTTATGAGACTTATATACCGCTTTAAGTGCAAGCACTCTCTAAGCGGTGTAAACCAGTAAGCAATGTATACATATATATATTTACATTGCCCCCAACAATCTGGATCCTCATTTTACCTACCCCGGAAGGATGGAAGGCTGAGTCAACCTTGAGCCAGTGAGATTTGAACCGCTGACCTGCTGAACACAGTCAGCTAAAGTAGCCTGCAGTACTGCACTCGAACTGCTGCGCCACCTCGGCTCCTAAGTCACTTGTGGCACACATGCCATAGGTTCGCCCCACTGGTCTAGGGTTTCCTACCTCAGCAGGGGGTTGGATTAGATGACCTCCAAGGTCCCTTCCAACTTTATTATTATTGTTGTTGTTGTTGTTGTTATGTTGTTGTTACTACTGCTGGCATTGAGAATGAAAAAGATTGGAGTGGAGTCACAACATTTAATTTAAAAATAATAATAATAGTTCATACCTGGAGGCCCATAGAGTAGAAGTCCCTTCCAAGGAGAAAGAATGCCTGTAAACAACTGCGGGTACTGTGGAAAAAAGAAGATTAAAAAAAAATATCACTAAACAATAGTTGGCAGGTCACTTTGGTAACCCAACCAGTATTTTTTTTATCAGAACGGTGTTGCTAGAGGGGAAAGGTAGGCCATCAGGGTGGCGGATTCTGTATTTCTGGATCTCTCCCCCCTTTATTTATGTCATGGTTCCCTCCCTTTCGAACACGAAACCCGGCATTAGATTGTATTTCTTTATTTGATTGTTATCCCGCCTTCATTGTTTATAAGTAACTCAAGGGGCCGGGCATACATACTCCCTCCTCCTGTTTTCCCCACCACAACGACCCTGTGAGGTGGGCTGAGCTGAATGGCCCAAAGTCACCCAATTGGCTTTCATGCCTAAGGCAGAACTAGAACTCACCGTCTCCTGGTGATCAGCCCAAAGTCACCCAATTGGCTTTCATGCCTAAGACAGAACTAGAACTTACAGGATTTCATGCCTAAGGCAGAACTAGAACTCACAATGTCCTGTTGATAAGCACAAAGTTACCCAATTGGCTTTTATGTCTAAGGCGGGACTAGAACTCACCGTCTCCTGGTGATCAGCCCAGTCACCCAATTGGCTTTTATGTCTAAGGCAGAACTAGAATTCATCGTCTCCTGGTGATCGACCCAAAGTCACCCAGATGGTTTTCATGCCTAAGGTGGGACTAGAACTCACCGTCTCCTGGTGATCAGCCCAAAGTCACCCAATTGGCTTTCATCTCTAAGGCAGAACTAGAACTCTCAGTCTCCTGGTGATCGACCCAAAGTCACCCATCGTGGCTGTGAAATCAGGCGTGGCTCCCTTAACCACCGCCTTGCTTAGCAGCAGACATGTTGGGCCCAAGGGTTGGCCGTAGGTCAAATATCTTGGCCCCCGAGAAGCGAGGCGATTTGTGTGACTTTTGCTCCTTACCCTTATGGGATACACAACAGCTTCCTTGACTAAGCGCTTGGCGGCCTCCAGCCCAATGATGTCGTCCCATTTGATGTTGGGGTTGTGAAGGTAGATATCCTGCAAGACACGGTTTGATAATAATAATAATAATAATAATAATAATAATAATAATAATAATAATAATAATAATAATAATAATAATAATAATTCTGCCTATCCCAGGTCCTGGGTAAGGACTCGATAGGTAGACAAAATGCCAAATCCAGTCTGAACATCTGGCTGACTGTGCGATGATTGATAATAATAATAATAGTAAAGTTGGAAGGGACCTTGGAGGTCATCTAGTCCAACCCCCTGCTCAGGCAGGAAACCCTATCCCATTTCAGACAAAGGGCTGTCCAGTCTCTTCTTTAAAACTTCCAGTGTTGGAGCATTTATTGCTTCTGGAGGCAGGCTGTTCCACTGGTTAATTGTTCTCACTGTCAGGAAGTTTCTCCTTAGTTCTAGGTTGCTTCTCTCCTTGGTTAGTTTCCATCCTTTGCTTCTTGTCCTGCCTTCAGGGGCTTTGGAAAACAGCTTGACTCCCTCTTCTTTGGGGCAGCCCCTGAGATATTGGAACACTGCTATCCTGTCCCCCCTCGTCCTTCTCTTCGTTAAACTAGACATACCCAATTCCAGCAACCGTTCCTTATATGTTTTAGCCTCCAGTTCCCTAATCCTCTTTGTTGCTCTTTAAAAACAGTCCCCCCCCCCGTTTTCCTGTGCCAGCGTAATAAATGCACTGCAAAATAAGCCGTAAAATTGAGAGGGGAAAAAGGCAACACGACAAAGGACAGGTTGCTATGCGGGTGCCATTACTGGGAGGTGGGTGGGCAGAAAGGAAGGGTCAGCTGGGGCTGAACTACGACTTTTGGCGCCTTTCTCTATTCGTCAAGCTTGGCTGGGTCTGCAAGAATTGCCACTGAGGTTCTGGCGGGCTCGTCCTGTCTCGAACTCAGGTGTGTGTGCAAGCTCAGCAACTTTGTAAGACTTGTGGACTTCAACTGAAGTTGTGCACTGAGGATGTTCCCTAGCTGGGTCATGAAACGTCTGCAAGGAAATCAGCAAGCTTAGAAGCACCAAGGACCCCACAGTCCTTTTCTCCTCCTCCTCCTCTTACTCTTCCTTCTCCTCCTCCTCCTCTTTTTCCTCTTCTTCCTCAAAGCCCCTTCCCTTCTAGCATTGATGATGTTACCTAGTTGGGTTATGAAACATCTGCAAGAAAACCACCAAGCTCAGAGAGCACCAAGGACCCCACACTCATCTCCTCCTCCTCCTCCTCCTCCTCCTCCTCCTCCTCTTCCTCCTTCTCCTCCATAAACACCATTCTCTTCTAGCACTGATGATGTTACCTAGTCTGGTAATGAAACATCTGCAAGAAAACCACCAAGCTCAGAGCGCATCAAGGACCCCAACAATCCTCCTCCTCCTCCATAAACACCACTCTCTTCTAACACTGATGATGTTACCTAGTCTGGTAATGAAACGTCTGCTAGAAAGCCACCAAGCTCAGAGAGCACCAAGGATCCCACAGCTCCTCCTCCTCCTCCTCTTCTCCATAAACATCACTCTTTTCTACCACTGATGATGTTACCTAGCTTGGTAATGAAACGTCAACAAGCTCAGAAGCATGAAAGACCCCACAGTCGTCCTCCTCTCCTCCATAAACACTTCTCTTCTGGCACTGATGATGTTGCCTAGTCTGGTAATGAAACGTCTGCTAGAAAGCCACCAAGCTCAGCAAGCACCAAGGACCGCACCCTTCATGAATCATAGTATCTCCACCATGGATGGCTTTCTCCAGGCAGATACAAACTATGCAACTTCTAGGACTCCATAAGATGGGAGAATCTGCTAAGCTAACGTAAGAGTGTGAAGCTCAGGTGAGAAAGGTTATTGTGATGTATCTTCATGTTCCTCCTTAATTGTTCTAACTGTCAGGAAGTTTCTCCTTAGTTCCAGGTTGCTTCTCTCCTTGAATAGTTTCCATCTGTTGCTTCTTGTCCTGCCTTCAGGGGTTTTGGAGAAGAGCTTGACTCCCTCTTCTTTGGGGCAGCCCCTGAGATAATACGGTTATCCTGTCCCCCCTTGTCCTTCTCTTCATTAAACTAGACATACCTCTCTTTCGCCTGACTTCCAATCTCAAGATGGACAGCAGGATCAGCCCTCTCGGTGAATGAGGATGCAGTTCAACCCCCATCCTGGGTCGGACAAGAAAAACTCACCTTACTGACCACCGTCGCAAGCTCCCTCATTTCAGCTGTCATACCAAGCAAGGCACCCAAAGGTTTTAACAGGCGTTCCTGGAAACATGGAAAACGCCAATGTCAACGCTGCTAACCTCGGATGTTTTTGCTTTGACAACAGTGGGAGATGCACCCTTTTCTTCTTATGTTTTACTCTTAGAGTTAGAGTTAAGATGATGCTGGGGGGGGGGAGAGGAATGTGCATGAGAGGTTAGCTAGACATAACAATACTGGACCTAGTGTGAGAACCAAGGTTATTGAAATAAGAGATGATAAGAATTGGTGGGCTGGAGAACTGGAGGGGAAGCCTGCGTTTCAAGCTAATTGGGGAATGTGATTTATGACTGTTAATTGGAGGAGGGAATTGTGCTTTGACACTATGTGCTCAGGGGAGGGGGATCCAGTTTTTGGCTTGGATTGTGTTAGTGCCCAAGTTATGCTTCTCAAATAAAGATTCTTCAAGGTAAACAATGCCTCAAAGTTCTTTGAAGAGTTTCATCTGTCGGAACCATGACAACCAACACAAGTTGTGGAAAGTACTGTTTGGGTTGACTCCTGGTCTGTCTATTGTTGGCACATTTACCAGCCCTAAAGACCTATACGGTAGTCCTCCAGTTACAACAGTTTACTTAGTGACAGTTCAAAGTTACAATGGCACTGAAAACCGGGGACTTAATAATGTTTTTCACACTTACGACTATCGCACCATCCCCAGGGTCACATAACCAACACTCAAACGCTCAGTAACTGACTCCTATTTATAACGGTCGTAGTGTCCCGTGTTTGTGTGTCATGTGATCGCCTTTTGGGATCTTCTGACAAGCCAAGTCAGGTGGGGGGGGATGCCAGATTCATTTGACTATTCTATTCTATTCTATTCTATTCTTTTTTATTTCTATTCTATTCTATTCTATTCTATTCTATTCTATTCTATTCTATTCTATTCTATTCTTTCTTATTTCTATTCTATTCTATTTTCCATTCTATTATTTTCTATTCTATTCTATTCCATTCTATTCTTTCTTATTTCTCTTCTATTCTATTCTATTTTCTATTCTATTCTATTCTATTCTTTCTTATTTCTATTCTATTCTATTCTATCCTATTCCATTCCATTCTATTCGATTCAATTCTATTGTTTCTTATTTCTATTCTATTCTATTCTATTCTATTTTCTATTCTATTCTATTCTATTCTTTTTTATTTCTATTCTATTCTATTTTCTATTCTATTATTTTCTATTCTATTCTATTCCATTCTATTCTTTCTTATTTCTATTCTATTCTATTCTATTCTATTCTATTCTATTCTATTCTATTCTATTCTATTCTATTCTATTCTATTCTATTCTCGCTTTGCAAAGATACAGAGGATGTAGAATAATGTACCCTGGTTTGATGTGCTGGAAGGCATTCTTGCCCATCGACATTTCTGATCCGTTATATTTCCAATTGAAATTATTGTTTCCGAAAAAGGAATGACTTAGGCCAGCTTTCGGTTACAAAGAACATCACTTACCGAAGGATCTGGATTGCAGTTAAAGCTGTGGAGGGAGATTTCACTGGAGGCCCCCTTGATCGCGTCCTGAATCAGGCCACGGAAGTCAATAATTTGCCCCTGCAGGAGAAGCAAACACCACCCACTAAGACTGAATTCTTGGAGTACTTGAGACATTAGGGAGCGATCCCAAAATAATATTTATATGTTACTTATATGTAAGGATGTAGGTCTATACCAGGGGTCTTCCAACTTGGCCCTTTGATGACTGGTGGACTTCAATTCCCAGAATTCCTCAGCCTGGCACGCTGGCTGAGGAATTCTGGGAGTTGAAGTCCACCAGTCATAAAAGGGCCACGTTTGAGGACCCCTGCATTATGTGATGCCACAAGGTAGAAGAGCAGGTTGGGGACAAAGCATAGCTGGCTGAGGAATTCTGGGAGGTGAAGTCCACACCTCTTAAAATGGCCGAGGTTGAGAAACACCAGTTTAGCTCTTTCTGACTTAGCATTATTTTCTCCTCACATTATGTCAGGGGTCTTCAAACTTGGCCCTTTTATGACTTACGGACTTCAACTCCAAGAATTCCTCAGCTAACCACGCTGGCTGAGGAATTCTGGGAACTGAAGTCCACTATTCTTAAAATCTACCTCAGGGGTCTACAAACCTGGTGCTTTTATGACTGGTGGACTTCAACTCCCGGAATTCCTCAGTCGGCCATTTTGATGAAACTGCGGGCTTGGATCCAGACCAGGAGCCTTCAAACTCAGCCCTTTTATGACTGGTGGACTTCAACTGCCAGAATTCCTCAGCCAGGCACGTTGGCTGAGGAATTCTGGGAGTTGAAGTCCACCAGTCATAAAAGGGCCATGTTTGAAGACCCCTGGCCTATACATACCTTGTATATAGTATGTTTTAAATCTGTGTTATGTATGTGTACACTTTGAGAGGAAGCAACTAAATTTCATTTTTAATGTGGGCCATTGGGCTCACAGGAAAAAATGACAATAAAGATTATCTAATCTATATCAAGAAACCTCTGTGATAATCAAGGCCACAGTTGATCCTCTGATATGTTTCTCAAGCTTAGCAACTTCAAGTATGTTTACGAATACAGGCAGTCCTCGACTTAGTTTATTTAGTGACCGTTCGAAGTTACGATGGCACTGAAAAAGGTCACTGACGGCCATTTCTCACACTTTGGACTGTGGCATCCATCCTTGTGGTTACATGATCCAAAGTCAGACACTTGGCAACTGACTCATATTTATGATGGTCGCGGTGTCCCCCGGGAGGGGATGTCGTGTGATCCCCTTTTGCGACCCTCTGATGGGCAAAGTCAATGGGGGAAGCCGGATTCGCTGAACGATGGCGCGACTAACTTAACAATGGCAGTGACTGACTTAACAATTGTGGAAAGGCAGGTCGTAAAACAGGGCAAAAACTCACTGAACACATTTCTCACTTAGCAACGTAAAATTTGGGGCTCGGTTCTGGTCGCGAGTCGAGGACAACCTGTATGCTAAAAAACACTGGCTCCTATGTTGATTTCTATCTCCTCTCAGCACTGCTAACCTCGGATGCTTTTGCTTTGACAACAGTTGGAGATGCAACCCTTTTCCTCCTATGTTTTACTCTTAGAATTAGAGTTAGAGTTAGATGATGCAGGGGGGAGGAATGTGCCTGAGAGTCCAGCTAGACATAACAACACTAAACATAGCGTGAGAACCAAGGTTATTGAAATAAGAGATGATAAGAATGGGTGGGCTGGAGAACTGGAAGGAAAGCCTGCATTTCAAACTAATTGGAGAATGTGATTTATGACAGTTAATTGGAGGAGGGAATTGTGCTTTGATACTATGTGCTCAGGGGAGGGGAATTCAGATTTTGGCTTCGATTGTGTTAGTACTGATGCTATGCTACTCAAATAAAGATTCTTAGTTTAAGGTAAACAATGCCTCGAAGTTCTTTGAAGGGTTTCACCTGTCGGAACCACGACATGAAGCTAAAAACTACAATTCTTTTCACTCTTCATTTGCAAATCCTGCCCCTTCCCCAAAAGGAATGCAGGTCATCCTTGACTTACAACTGTTTGTTCAAAGTTACAATGGCACTGAAAAAAAAGGGACTTACGACTGGTCCTTAAATCTACAAGCCTGAAAGTTCAGGCGTGTATTTAGGGGTGGTTGAAGCATCCTGGGGGTCTTGCGATCACCATTCGTGATCTTCTCAGCCGACTTCCGACAAACGAAGGCAATGGGGGAAGCGGGTTTCACTTAACAACGGTAGCAAAAATGGTCACGGAATCCGACACAACGCAATGAACAACCACCTTGCTGGGCAAGGGAAATTGTAGTCGTTAAGTCAGAGACTATCTATATATATTATACAACACTCAAGGTGTCTACAAGAAGAGAGTGGACAGCCCTTTGTCTGAAATGGTAGAGGGTTTCCTGCCTGAGCAGGGGGTTGGACTAGATGACCTCCAAAGTCCATTCCAACTTTATTATTATTAATAATATTGTTGTTGTTGTTGTTTATTATTATGTCTTTCCCCTTGGACGCCTTAATGTTCTATAAGACCCTGACTGTTTGTAGGATTGTGACTAACCCTTTTAGGATGAGGGCCTTCTCCACCTCCTCTGTGGATTGCAGATACATTTAAACCAAATTCTGATGCAACTCGACTTAAAGGACCTTCGTTCTCCTGTAAGGGGAAAAAAAATATATTCTGCAGTTAGAGCCAGTTTGGTTTAGGGATTAAGGCACCAGATTACAAAGCGGGAGCCTGCGAGTTCTAGTCTCGTCTTTGCCATGAAAGCCGACTGGGTGACTTTGGGCCAATCAGCAGGATACTGTGAGTTCTAGTCCCGCCTCAGGTGTGAAAACTGGCTGGGTGACCTTGGGCCAATCACCAGGAGACAGTGACTTCTAGTCCTGCTTTAGGAATGAAAGCTGGCTGGGTGACTTTGGGCCAATCATCAGGAGACGACGATTTCTACTCTTGCCTTAGGCATGAAAGCCATTTGGGAGACTTTGGGCCAATGTGCAGGAAGCTCTGAGTTCTAGTCCCATCTTAGACATGAAAGCTAGTTGGGAGACTTTGTGCCAATCATTCTCTATTTATTTGTATCCTGCCTTTATTATATTTCAAATAACTCAAGGTGGTGAATATATATAATACACCTCCATCATCATCTTCTTCTTCTTCTTCTTCTTCTTCTTCTTCTTCTTCTTCTTCTTCTTCTTCTTCTTCTTCTTCTTCTTCTTCTTCTTCTTCTTCTTCTTCTCCTCCTCCTCCTCCTCCTCCTCCTTCTCCTTCTTATTTTCCCACAAAATCCACCCTGTGAGGTCAACCCATCTCACAGGTTGTTATTATAGGAGGAAGAAGAATTTGTGTTGAATGTATTCACCACCTTGAATTGTTTGAAAAAATAATAAAGGCAGGATACAAATAAATAGAATAATCAATAATAATGTAATGTAAAAAAGATGTTGAGATTCTAGAAAGAGTTCAGAGAAGAGCAACAGAGATGATTAGGGGACTGGAGGCTAAAACATATGAAGAACGGTTGCTGGAATTGGGTATGTCTAGTTTAAATGAAGAGGAGGACGAGGGGGGACAGGATAGCAGCCTTCCAATATCTCAGGGGCTGCCTCAAAGAAGAGGGAGTCAAGCTGTTCTCCAAAGCCTCTGAAGGCAAGACAAGAAGCAACAGGTGGAAATTCATCAAGGAGAGAAGCAACCTAGAACTAAGGAGAAACTTCCTGACAGTGAGGACAATTAACCAGTGGAACAACCTGCCTCCAGAAGCAGTAAATGCCCCAGCACTGGAAGTTTTTAAGAAGAGATTGGACAGCCATTTGTCTGAAATGGTATAGGGTTACCTGCCTGAGCAGGGGGTTAGACTAGAACAGGGGCAGGCAACCTTGGCTCTTTTATGACTCGTGGACTTCAACTCCCAGAATTCCTGAGCCAGCGTGGCTCAGCGTGGAAACCTCTCCCTTTCCCCTCAGTGTGGCTGGCTCAGGAATTCTGGAAGTCCACCAGTCATAAAAGGGCCAAGTTTGAAGACCCCTACCCTAGGCCTAGAGTCTAGACCAGGGGTAGGCAACCTTGGCTCTTTTATGACTCCTGGACTTCAACTCCCAGAATTCCTCAGCCAGCCTGGCTCAGCTTAGAAACTTCTCTCTTTCCCCTCAGTGTGGCTGGCTCAGGAATTCTGGGAGTTGAAGTCCACCAGTCATAAAAGAGCCAAGGTTGCCTAGCCCTGGACTAGAAGACCTCCAAGTTCCCTTCCAACTTTTTATTATTATTATTTATTATTATTATTATAAAATATTGCTTCATAGGTAGGCAGTCCTTGGCTGTAAGCCGTTCATTCAATGGCCCTGAAAAAAGTGACCTGCAGCCAGTTCTCACACTTAGGACCGTTTCAGTAGCCACACAGAACCTGCGATCAAAGTTTAGGCTCTCGGCCTGTATTTACAACAATTGCGGTGTCCCCTGATAGCCGTTTGTGACTTTCCCTGCCACCTGGTGACAACTAAAAGCCGCAGACAAACGAAAGGGAGATTCACCTGCTTCACGGCATCCTTGCAGGCGGCTTTCAGCTCTGCGGCTCTTGTGGGCGACACTTTTGATTGAGGCCTCCCTTGATGTTGGCTAATCTTGGGGAGATTCCGGCATGTGCCGCTGGGGGCCCTGCATGGGAAAAGAAGGATTGTAGTGGAGTATTTTTCTGAATGCGGTAAAGCAGTGTTTCCCAAACTTGACAATTTTAAGGCATGTGGACTTCAACTCCCAGAATTCCACAGCCAGCAACGCTGGCTGTGGAATTCTGGGAGTTGAAGTCCACATGCCTTAAAATTGTCAAGTTTGGGAAACACTGCGGTAAAGGATCCGAGGCCCGCCGGGGACGTGGACAGGCGAGAGTGCCAACGATTCGAGTCCCATTGGTTGCCGTAATAGGCTAATAAAAGCCCCTCCCCACTGATATTGGTGAACTGATGTAAGAAAAACAGCCTAGTATTAAATACCAGAAAAATCAGAGAGATCATTGTCGACTTCAGAAAAGGCAGGCCCAGCCACACTTCTCTCTGCATTAATGATTCACCTGTGGAGATGGTTACCAACATCAAATTCCTGGGAGTGCAGCTAACGAGTAGGCTGGCTTGGTCGCTCAACAGTGAGACCCTGGTGAAGCGGGCACAGCAGGGCCTGCATTTTCTGCGTCGCATGAGAAAAGCACATCTTCCTTCCCCTGTCCTCACCACTGTGAATGCTCCAACACTGGAGGTTTTTAAAAAGGGACTGGACAGATTTGTCTGGGAATTGTTTAGTCCAGAGTTCCCCAATGTTTCCAGCTTTGTGGACCGGTGGGGGGAGGGACAGGGGATGGTTCTGTGCAAGCGGCTGGCAAGCACGTGTGTCCATGTGCATGAGTGGCGTGCATGCACGCCTGCCACTCACTTAAATGGACTGTGCCGCTCTCCCACTGCTCGCATAAGTGAGGATGCGTGGGTGAGCCCGCGCACTCACCTGCCTTTTCCGTTGCCCGGTTGCAAACCCCTCACGGCCCACTAGTGGGCTGTGGACCCCAGGTTGTGGACCTCTGGTTTAGTCTCCTGTCCTGAGCAAGAAGACCTCTAAGGTCCCTTCCCAATCTGTTATTCTAAGTTCTATTCTTTCTGCATCGCATGAGAAAAGCACCTCTTCCTTCCCCTGTCCTGACCACTTTCTACAGGGGGACGATCGAGAGCATCCTGTCCTACAGCATCACAGTCTGGTTTGGAAGCATCCCTGCTTCGGACAGGAAGGCGGTGCCAAGAGTGATGAGGACAGTAGAAAAGATTATTGGCAGTTCAGAGAGTGGTGAAGATGGCAGAAAAATCATTGGCAGTTCCCTCCCTCCCATTCAGGATGTGGCACACAAGCGTTGTTTGAGCAGGGTCTGTAAGATTATCTGGGACGCTACACACTCACTTCACGATCTGTTTTCCTTGTTCCCTTCTGGGAGGAGGCTTTGTGGTATCCATAGAAGAACAACCAGATTCAGCCACAGTTTCGTTCCATACAGCATTAACCTTGCAAACTCTCAAGCTTCCTCCTTCCATTATATATTCAAGATGGACAGTATTTAATATTTATTTGTTATGTATATGTAGGGGTGTGGGTCTATACATACATTGTATATAGTATGTTTAGGTGTGTGTCATGTATGTGTTTCACTTTGAGAGCAGGCAACCAAATTTCATTTTTCGATGTGTGCCGTTGTGCCCACAGTAAAAAAAATGACAATAAAGGGTATCTTATCTTATCTATCTTATATTTTCTTTTTCTTTTAACGACCCTGTAAATCCTTTGCATCAGGGTGGAGTTGGGATGACTGAATGGAGCTGAGCGTTGGCCGGCCAGATGCCCTTCCTGACGCCTACGCGGAGTTCACAGCAGAATATTTTCTCTTTGTACCCAGTGTGGAAAACGAAAATATCGGCTATGCAATTCAGGCCCAGGTGAATTAAATCATGGAAAAAGTATTGAACTAAAGTCTGTGCTAGGCTTAATTTTGCAGTTGGCAACTGTATTTTACGTAATATGATTCTGCTAAGCTTGCTCGTTTCAAATATATTTAGAACATAAGGACTGGAACTGTGAGATGTGTGGAACTGAAAGTAGCTGATGGATGCGGGTTCCAATGTACCACAAGGATGTGGAAAGTTATGTTCAGCAGAGGGTCAGCAAAAAGTCAGCAGAAAGTGTAAGATTTTAGGATGAGAAAGGTATAAAAAGTTGGGACTGGACCAGATTGATTTGCCATTGGCCTATAACTGGACCTGCTACAATAGTAGCCAAAATTGTGGAAACCTTTTGGGAAAAGTGTACAGTAGAAATGCCACCTTTGGTTAAGTTTCCACCCATTTTTCTTCTAATTTCTTTATAACTATAGCCTCGTTCACTTAATAATACTATTTTACATCACTTTCTGGGCAACTAGTCAATTCTTTGCACCATGACTTTAATTTTATTAGGTTTTACAAACTCACTAAATGAAAGAACACAAAAAACCCAACCAACTTGATAGCAATCACATAACACGCTGACAAATGTCCTCCTCTCGGCTTCAATACATGACATCAATAACTGGATCCTACGGTGATCTGATTGGCTCATTGCCAAAACAAGATGACACCCGATTGGCTTTCTAAACACTCATGCTCATTGGCTACAACCAGATGAAGGAAAGCTACCTGAGATCAACCTAAGCAAGTTGTGCTTCCTTTTTCTGGTTATTTAGCTATAACTTTTCATAGAATACAGTACAGATATTGAACCAACTTTGTTGCATTACATTCTTGATTACATTATCTTTCCATTGATATATAATTTTATGGTACTGCTCCCCCCCAAAAAAGTGGTGTTATTAGCCATGAAACCTCAAACATACACTTTTCCCAAAAGGTTTCCACAATTTTGGCCACTAGTGTATGTCACTGGACCTCATTGCAATGGGTTACTAATGTGAGTGATGTTGTGTTATTATGTTTGCTATGTTCCAAATGATTAGCAAAATAAAACCTTGTTTTGTGTTGCTGCCTCTTGTCTTTTTCATTGGGTTTTTCCATGACATCAGAGAGAAATATCTGTCTCTAAGCAAGATGGAACCCACTGCCTCCTTGATTGTGAATGCTCTTTTTACGTCGGGGTGTCAAACTGTCAGCCCGCGGGCCGGACGCGTCACGTGGAAGCCGCACCCACCCCATTGCCGCGAGTTTGACATGTCTGTTCTAGGCCATCATCCTGCTCCCCTTCCTTTACATATGCCACAGATAGAAGAAGGCAGCTGCCACCACCATTTTGGTTTTTTTTTTCTTTTTGACCTCCACGCAGATGCTCCTGAGAAAGGCTCCATAGACACAGGCACCTCATTCTCCTGTTTAAACCAAGCTCTGGGCTACAGGTAGGGCTAGTTTTAAGAGATTCGGAGACATCGGTTTGTCCAAAATAATGCAGAGTAAGACGGGATAGTTTGGCTCCAAATGGTTCAATCTTGGTTCAACCACCTCATTTCTAAGGCTGACTTGAAACATTTCTTTTAACCAAGTGGCTCTTGATGGTTTTAAACCAGGTTACCCAAAACAGGGTCTTCCCCCAAGCCAGGGGTCTTCAAACCTGGCCCTTTTATGACTGGTGGACTTCAACTCCCAGAATTCCTCAGCCAGGCACCAGTCATAAAAGGGCCAAGTTGGAAGTCCCTGGTCTGGATCCAAGCCCGCACTTTCATCAAAATGGCCGACTGAGGAATCCTGGGAGTTGAAGTCCACCAGTCACAAAAGGGACAAGTTGGAAGACCCTTGGTCTGGATCCAAGCCCGCAGTTTCATCAAAATGGCCGACTGAGGAATCCTGGGAGTTGAAGTCCACCAGTCATCAAAGGGCCAAGTTGGAAGACTCCTGGTCTGGATCTAAGCCCGCAGTTTCATCAAAATGGCTGACTGAGGAATTCTGGGAGTTGAAGTCCACCAGTCATAAAAGAGCCAAGTTGGAAGAGCCCTGCCCCCAGCCTTAAGATTTACTATATTCTCCATTCAAGATGGTTTACGCTCTACTGAGGAGGATAGAACAGCACGGAAAGATAGAAAATAGAAACTTCATTTTGGCAAAGACTTTGCTGGATCCTTCCGTCGTGTGTGTGTCCGGTGGAGCATTTTCTCTTCTACCAAGCCTTTTTTAATTGCTTGTGCAGGCTAAAAAAAAAAAATCTCAGTTTTGAAATCTGAATGTTTTATTATTCTGTCTTGTGTTACTTCCCCAACATTAAGAGAACTCATCAACAGAGAGCACCTGAATTTTCTCTCGTGAATTCCTTTCATTTCCTTCTGCTGCAATTCTGTATTATCCTCCATACCAGAGGCGTTCATAAGACTGTGGGAGGGGGGGGGGGGCAAAGACAAGATGGTGGCTTTGGCCACCTGGCCAATAGGTGAGGCTTTGATCATGTGGGTTATAATTGTCATCTTGATTTTTTGGACCCCCTCCGCAGCTGCCCCTGTTTCTATCTATTCACCCATCATCTCTCTTTCTCTCTTTCTCTCCATCCACTATCTACCTTATGCTACTCTACTCTACCCTACTCTACCCTACTTTACTCTATTTTACTGTACTCTACCCTACCCTCTTACTCTACCTTGCTTTACTCTACTATACTCTATACTCTACCCTACCCTATTCTACCCTACCCTTCCCTATTCTACTCTACCCTACTTTACTCTACTCTACCCTCCCCTACTCTATCCTCCCCTCCCCTCCCCCTACTTTTTCCTTACTCTACTCTACCCTACCGTACTCTACTTTACTCTACCCTCCCCTCCCCTTCCCTACTCTACTCTACCCTACTCTATCCTACCCTCCCCTACCCTACTATTCCTTACTCTACTCTACCCTACTGTTCTCTACTCTACTTTACCCTACCTTATTTATCTATTTATTTATCTATCTATCTATCTATCTATCTATCTATCTATCTATCTATCTATCATCTATCTATCTCTATCTATCTATCTATCTCTCTATCTATCTCACTATCTATCTATCATTTATCTATCTCTCTATCTCTATCTATCTATCTATCTCTCTGTCTCTATCTATCTATCTCTCTATCTATCTATCTCTATCTATCTATCTATCTCGCTATCTATATCTATCCTTCCACCCACCCACCCATCCATCATCTATTTATCTATTTATTATCTATGTCATGTTTATCTATTAGTCTCTCTCTCTCTCTGCATTATCTATCTATCTATCCATCCATCCATGCATCCATCCAAAACACTTAACACATTAAATGCAATACCATTTGCATTTCAGAAGTGAGGGAGGAAATTAAATGAATCAGTAAACGTGGCTACTGAAGAATTATTACCAAAGGCCATCCAGCAGCTACATTTCTCTTACCTTTTTGCTTTCCCTCCACTTCTTGATTTATTATCTGCTGTGGAAAAGGAGAAAACAGCAGTTAATAAAAATATTAAATATTACTTTGAACAGAAACAGAATCTTCCTAACAGGGAGGACAATTAACCAGTGGAACAGCTTGCCTCCGGAAATCGTGGGCGCTCCATTACTGGAGATTTTTTTTAAGAGGAGACTGGACAGTCACTTGTCAGAGATGGCATAGGTTCTCCCGCTTGAGCGGGGGGCTGGACTAGAAGACCTCCAAGGTCCCTCCCAGGTCTATTCTATTCTATTCAAAACAAACAAACAGAAATCATTCTGAGCAACGCAACGTACTGGAGTCGACAACTTTCTTGGTAATCTTGGGGTACTTTTGAAACTTGACGTAGTAGTAGCTCTCGTATTCCATCAAAATGGTCTCCAGATCGACATTGTCGCACACTTCAAAACGGCGCAGCCCACCTTTTGCTTCTTGCTCCAGTGCATTAGCAGCGTCTACATACCTGGGAGTGACAGATTCAGAAAGGGTCAGCGTGTGATTGAAACTTCAGAGCAGTAGTTATTTAAGACACAAGTTTTGTACAGGGGGAAAAAAAAGAGAGAAAGAGAGAGAGGAAAAAGTATAAAACCGGACCGAGGATCGCCGATTCAGGAATCAACTCTCTCTGCATTTTTTTTTTTTTTTTTGAAAATGTATTGGATTCCAACGCCAGTCGTGCTGAGTGAGATTGGCTGGGACTGATGGGAGCTCCAGGAGGGAAGAAAACTGACCTTCATTATAGCAAACTCTTAGGAAATTGGTATATGGCAAGAATTATATTTTCGTACTGTGCATCTTATAGAGCGAAGGAATGCTTACCCTTCTTCCGTTAAATAATGTAAAATCAAAATAAGCAGGTTTTTGCGCCGGGCTTCTGTTCGTGTGTGCTCCTTTAAAACAAAAAGAGAGAAAACGATAAAATATATAGCTCTGTGCAAGGTAAGCTTTGCTGACTGTAGACTGTAGGTTTCCTGGGAAAAATCAGCCAATGTTTTAGCAGGGTATAATAATAATAATAATAATAATAATAATAATCAGTAGAAACATCAGAAAATTTGTGCAAAGATCGATGGCACAATGGAAGACACAGTTGCAGATCAATGGTGAGAAGCTGGGAGAGGTTAATATCAAGAGAGGAATATTTCAAGGAGATTCATTATCACCATTACTATTTGTTATTGCACTGTTTCCTCTGTCAACAATACTGAATAACTCAGGACATGGCTATCAAACATCAAAAACATCTGCCAGACTATCCCACCTCCTTTATATGGATGATCTGAAGCTGTATGGAAAAACATCATCTGAAATAGAATCGCTGCTCAACACTGTCCGTATATATAGCCAAGATATTGTAATGGAGTTTGGCTTGGACAAATGTGCCACACTTACTATCAAACAAGGAAAAATAGTGAAAACTGAAGGAATCAAGATGCCCCACGAAAATAACATTAAGAGTCTGGATGAGGAAGAGTACTACAAATACTTGGGTATCCTTCAAGCTGACAACATCAAGCACACTGAAGTCAAGAAAAAGATTAGAGGTGAATACATCAAGAGAGTGAAGAAGATCTTAAAATCCAAACTCAATGGAGGAAATACCATAAAGGCAATCAACACCTGGGCAATCCCAGTCATTAGGTACACAGCTGGAATAGTGGACTGGACTCAAGCAGAACTAAAAGCAATGGATAGGCAGACCAGAAAAATAATGACAATGAATCATGCCCTTCATCCACGCAGTGACATTGATAGACTTTATCTACCAAGGCAAATAGGTGGGCGTGGAATGCTACAAGTACATCAGATGGTTGAAGAAGAAAAAATGGCTTTGGAAGAATATCTGAAGAACAATGATGAAGATGCACTGAAATTAGTATATCAGGAAGGCTTACTAACTACTGGAGAGACCAAACTGGCCTACAAGAAAGACCAAATGAAGAACAGAATAGAGGCATGGGAAGACAAAGCACTACATGGCCAATACATTAAAAAAATAGCTGGGAAAGCAGATAATAATAAAACCTGGCAATGGCTAAGAGCAGGAAAATTGAAGAAAGAGACCGAGGGACTAATTCTGGCTGCACAAGACCAAGCCTTAAGGACAAATGCATACAAAGTCAAAATTGAGAAGACAGCAACAGACAGTAAGTGCCGCCTATGCAAAGAAGCTGAAGAAACAGTGGACCACTTGGTAAGCTGTTGCAAGAAGATTGCACAGATTGATTACAAGCAGCGGCATGACAAAGTAGCAACAATGGTGCATTGGAAGATCTGCAAAAAATATCATTTGCCTGTAAGCAAAAACTGGTGGGATCATAAAATAGAGAAAGTCATAGAAAATGATAAAATTAAACTGCTCTGGGACTTCAGAATTCAAACAGACAAGCACCTGCAACATAACACCCCAGACTTAACAATTGTCGATAAGAAAGACAAAAAAGTCTGGATAGTGGACGTGGCAGTGCCTGGAGACAGCAGAATAGACGAGAAAGAACTGGAGAAGATAACAAAATACAAAGACCTACAAATAGAAATAGAAAACTGTGGCAAAAGCAAGCAAGGGTAGTACCAATAGTCATAGGCTCCTTGGGTGCAATCCCAAAACAACTGGAGCACCACTTGAACACCATTGGCATTGACAAATTCGCTATTAGTCAATTGCAAAAGGCGGCCTTACTAGGAACTGCTTCCATCCTGCGACGATATCTGTAATACCATCAAACATCCACATCTGCCTATCCCAGGTCCTGGGTAAGGACTCGATAGGTAGACAAAATGCCAAATCCAGTCTGAACATCTGGCTGACTGTGCGATGATCCATAATAATAATAATAAGGAGGAGGAGGAGGAGGAGGAGGACGAAGAAGAAGAAGAAGAAGAAGAAGAAGAAGAAGAAGAAGAAGAAGAAGAAGAAGAAGAAGAAGAAGAAGAAGAAGAAGAAGAAGAAGAAGAAGAAGAAGAAGAAGAAGAAGAAGAAGAAGAAGAAGAAGAAGAAGAAGAAGAAGAAGAAGAAGAAGAAGAAGAAGAAGAAGAAGAAGAAGTCGTCCTTGGGAAGGACTCGATAGGTAGACAAAATGCCAGATCCAGTCTGAACATCTGGCTGACTGTGCAATAATTCATAATAATAATAATAATAAAGTTGGAAGGGACCTTCGAGGTCATCGAGTCTAACCCCCTGTTCAGGTAGGAAACCCTATACCATTTTGAACAAATGGCTGTCCAGTCTCTTCTTTAAAAAACTTCCAGTGCTGGAGCATTCACAACTTCTGGTGGCAGGTTGTTTCACTGATTAATTGGTCTCACTGTCAGGAAGTTTCTCCTTAATTCTAGGTTGCTTCTCTCCTTGATAACTTTCCATCCACTTTTTAAATTATTATTATTATTATTAGACTAAGGTCATGGTTCCGACAGATGAAACTCTTCAAAAGAACTTCGAGGCATTGTTTACCTTAAAAAATTCTTTATTTTGAGTAGCATAGCATCGGCATTGCATAATCGAAGCCAAAAACTGGATTCCCCTCCCCTGGGCACCTAGTATCAAAGCACAATTCCCTCCTCCAATTAACAGTCATAAATCATATTCCCCAATTAGCTTGAAACGCAGGCTTCCCCTCCAGTTCTCCAGCCCACCAATTCTTATCATCTCTTATTTCAATAACCTTGATACTCACGCTAGGTCCAGTGTTATTATGTCTAGCTGGACTCTCGTTCACATCCCCCCTCCCAGCATCATCTAACTCTAAAAGCAAAAGGTAAAAGATGGCTGCATTTCCATCTGTTGTCAATGCAAAAACATCTGATGTTAGCAGCGTTGACAACTAAGTTTTCACATTTCAGAGATTTCTGACCTATAACCAACATCTATTATGAGAAGAATCCAGAGAAAGGAATACTTTGGGAAATATTAAAAAGGCAGAATATTATATTTCCCCAAAGGATTTTAAAGGCAGAAACCAACACCAACACCCCCAGTCTCTCTGCCCCAAACAGAAACCAGGTCTGCAGAAATGCAGATGTGATAATCCTGTCAGAAAGATTGGAGTCAGAAGGCTGGGATTAGAAAGACAAAGATCCCTAGAATCAACAATCCCTCACACCTAAAAATCCAACACAGGACATAGTCATCAACCACAGCCCCAGGGGAGCAGGATATGACCTTTGGGACATAATAGGATTAACCCACCACCATCAGAATACCAGAAAGGCACACTCAGACTCAGGTCAAAGTTCATGCCACAGGAACAACTCCAAACACAAAAGCCCAAGAAGGTACTACATGTGGTCAGCTTTCCCAGAGCCATCTTTCTATCTGGCTCTCCTCTTCAATAAACTGCAATCTTCTTTCTAAAGCAGTCTCCATTTTGTTTATTCCTGGCTTGGACTGGACCCTGATGAAGATTTTTCTTTTAACACTGTGTTTGGTTCGAACTACACATGACTATCCTAATATTACTCCTCTCTCCGACTGTCAACTTTAGATTGTATACTCCTTGGGATTGATACATTTTAATGCATTTAATATATTGAATATATATTGAATATATTGAATAGATACTGATGGTGTGTTAAAATCTTTAGCGCAGGTTCCCACGCAGATCAACTGGACATACAAGCAAGGTCACAAGTATAGACAAAGTCACCTGAATCTCATCGAATTGGAATCCCATCACATTCACATTTATTGTCATGGTTATGTTTATCCAGTATGTTTTCACACATGTGTGCATACGTGGTGGTCTTGCAAATTCAAATTTATTTAATGAATCACAGAGTTGGAAGGGACCTCAGAGGTCATCTAGTCCAACCTACTGCTCAGGGAGGAAACCCTAGACCACAGGTCGTCAACCTGCAGCTCCGGAGCCACATGCGGCTCTTTGAGCCTTCCCCGGTGGCTCCCAGCCTCCTCTGCCATTTGCAGACAGAGACAGAGACAGAGAGAGGCACTTGCGCTTCCCTACTTCTCTCTGTGTGTGTCTGTGTGTGTGTGTCTGTGTGTGTGTGTGTGTGTGTAAAAAAGAGTGGACTCACAGTGTTCTCCGAGGAGCAGAAAAGCTTACTGGGCGGGGCTCCTCCCTTTGCTGCGTCTCTGCAGGAAACAGGAAGCAGGAAGGGCAGGAGAGAGCTAGCTAGCCCAGCTTTGCTGACTCAGGAATTCTGGGAATTGAAGTCCATGAGTCATAAAAGAGCCGAGGTTGCCTAGCCCTGAGCTTGTTGGAGAACAGCTTGAAGCCAGCTTGCCAGGTGAGCAGCAGATGGGGGGGGGGGGAGAAAGAGAGAGAAAGAGAGAGAGAGGAAGAGAAAGAGACACACACAGAGAGAGACAGAGACTCTTCTGACATCTAAAATGAAGATAATACTGCATATATCCTTTTTTACCTTTATTATACACACACACACACACACACACACACACACACATATAATAAAGGTAAAAAAGGATATATGTAGTGTTAGTTTCATTTTAGATATCAAAAGGGTTTTGTGGCTCCCAGTGTTTTGTTTTCAGTGGGAAACGGGTCCAAGTGGCTCTTTGAGTGTTTTGGGTTGCCTACCCCTGACCTAGACCATTTCAGACAAAGGGCTGTCCAGTCTCTTCTTAAAAACTTCCAGTGTTGGAGCATTCACCACTTCTGGTGGCAGGTTGTTCCACTGGTTAATTGTTCTCACTGTTAGGAAGTTTCTCCTTAGTTCTAGGTTGATTTTCTCCTTTCTTTCTTTCTTTCTTTCTTTCTTTCTTTCTTTGTTATAATAATAATAATAAAGTTGGAAGGGACCTTGGAGGTCATCTAGTCCAACCCCCTGCTCAGGCAGGAAACCCTAGACCATTTCAGACAAGTGACTGTCCAGTCTCTTCTTTAAAAGCGTCCAGTACTGGAGCACCCACAAC